CTATAAAGATAGGTTAGGTTAGGTTAGGTAGGGTTGGTTAGGTTCGGTCATATATCTAAGTTAATTTTAACTCCAATAAAAAAAATTTACCTCATACATAATGAAATGGGTAGATTTATCATTTCATAAGAAAAAAATTTGAGAAAATATAATAATTCAGGAAAACTTGGCTTATTAGGCATATCGGGCCTTGCATAGTAGGCTGAGAAGTGCGTTCTGGCTACTAGGTACGACATATATATATATATATATATATATATATATATATTTTATATATATATATGTCGTACCTAGTAGCCAGAACGCACTTCTCAGCCTACTATGCAAGGCCCGATTTGCCTAATAAGCCAAGTTTTCCTGAATTAATATATTTTCTATAATTTTTTTCTTAGTGAAAAGGGCAGCTTTATCATTTCATAAGAAAAAAATTTGAGAAAATATAATAATTCAGGAAAACTTGGCTTATTAGGCATATCGGGCCTTGCATAGTAGGCTGAGAAGTGCGTTCTGGCTACTAGGTACGACATATATATATATATATATATATATATATGTCGTACCTAGTAGCCAGAACGCACTTCTCAGCCTACTATGCAAGGCTCGATTTGCCTAATAAGCCAAGTTTTCCTGAATTAATATATTTTCTCTATTTTTTTTCTTATGAAATGATAAAGCTACCCATTTCATTATGTATGAGGTCAATTTTTTTTATTGGAGTTAAAATTAACGTAGGTATATGACCAAACCTAACCAACCCTACCTAACCTAACCTAACCTATCTTTATAGGTTAGGTTAGGTTAGGTAGCCTAAAAAGTTAGGTTAGGTTAGGTTAGGTAGGTTAGGTAGTCGAAAAACAATTAATTCATGAAAACTTGGCTTATTAAGCAAATTGGGCCTTGCATAGTAGGCTGATAAGTGCGTTCTGGCTACTAGGTACGACATATATATATTTATATATATATATATGTCGTACCTAGTAGCCAGAACGCACTTCTCAGCCTACTATGCAAGGCCCGATATGCCTAATAAGCCAAGTTTTCCTGAATTATTATATTTTCTCAAATTTTTTTCTTATGAAATGATAAATCTACCCATTTCATTATGTATGAGGTAAATTTTTTTTATTGGAGTTAAAATTAACTTAGATATATGACCGAACCTAACCAACCCTACCTAACCTAACCTAACCTATCTTTATAGGTAAGGTTAGGTTAGGTAGCCAAAAAAAGCTAAGTTAGGTTAGGTAGGTTAGGTAGACGAAAAAACATTAATTCATGAAAACTTGGCTTATTAGGCAAATCGGGCCATGTATAGTAGGCTGAGAAGTGCGTTCTGGCTACTAGGTACGACATATATATATATAATATATATTTATATTATATAATATATATTGTAGGTATTATGAATAGGATGGGATCTAGTATTGGCATCCTAGTATAGGGTGCCAATACTAGACCAGTTTGGGCCATAAAAAAGTCAAAGGACCCATTTTGGAAAATCATATGGCTTCTCACTGCTTTCAAAATTTAAACTTACCATGAGTTTCATTCAATTGAGGTCGATTCAGAGGTTACAAGAATTGTTATTCTGAAAATGGTTACAAAACAATATCTCGTTAAATGTTAACAGGATGCGAGTCCAGTGTACCCGCGGGGTTTTCAATCTTATAGATATATTAATGTCGTACCTAATAGCCAGAATGCACTTCTCGGCCTACTATGCAAGGCCCCAATTTGCCTAATAGGCCGAGTGACTTTCTTTATTTTCAATAAATTCTTTCCAATTAGTATATTTGAATTATTATTATTAAGAACATAAATTATTTACTTAGTTGTGTTAGTTTAGGTTAGGTTAAGATAGGTTAGGTTCGGTCATATATCTAGGTTAGTTTGAACTTAAATTTAATAAAATTAACTCATACATAATGAAATGGATAGCTTTATCATTTCATAAGAAAAAATTTGAAAAATATATAAATTCAGGAAAACTTGGCTTATTAGGCAAATTAGGCATTGCATAGTAGGCCAAGTACTGCTTTCTAGCTACTAGGTACAACACTAATAAATATCATATTACTGTATTAGTATATCGAAGGGGAATATGTATTATGTATATAGACAGGGCAGCCCACTTCCTTTCCCCATGATATCATGGTGTATGCAGTACAGTGGTTAAGTACTTGGACTTGTATTACCTGAAGTACTTGTACGTGAGAAATATTACTTTAACCCATGCCTGGATAGTTACCAATTTGAGTTTGATGCCATTTTGGCTTTGTTCACAATTAATCATAAGTTACCTTTAAAAAAATAAGATCGAGAGGTTGGAGCACAGGAAATATTGGATATGTTAGTGAAAATTCTGTAGTCAAATTCTTCTTATAGATATTCACCAAATAATAAATAAATTAACTAATTATCGTTGTATAAGAAAAAAATAACCACAAATTTTGTATTTAATATTTTGAAAAGACGTCCAGTTCCCTACTAGAATATTTGTGACCAATAAAATGGGTGACAGGTTGCTATTACCAATACAAAACTATATTAAGCCGAGTTGGTTATAAAATGGACGAAAAGATAAATACAGTACATAAATTCAAAATACTGTATGAAGCAATATTATGAAAGGTCTATTCACCCTCTTTTGTTTTTTTTAACATTTTTTTCATCGTAGCATCTGTCTAGAATCATTAAGAGAGGAAAAATCCTTGAGCTGAAACATAAGACAACCGTTATAATACAACTTCGACATGTGCCATAGTCTAATGTACAATTGTAAAACTTGCACATTCTCAAGAGATCCTATTTAATGCACAGATGTCTATACACACAGTACATAACACAGTATCATTCACATGGATCTTCATGAACAAGTTTTGGAACACTAACCATATATAGAGAAATAGGTAAAATTATATGTCAAATTAAGATATTCTTCAAGTGTCTTCCTAGTTAATGATGAACTCTTGCACTGATAAAAACATTGCATACTGTAAATCAAATATTTTTCTTCTTTTCTGTACAATAGTGAAAACTCCAAGTTAGTGCTTTAACTTCCAGACACCCTATATTTAAAAAAACACATTCTGACTATTTTATTTTTAGATCTTTGTGCACATCAATGGTACTAATAAAGTCTCCTGTACTCTGAAACCCTTGAACTCTGCTCCTCCCCCAACCTTATTACCCTGCATACTTCCTTTTCATCCTCTCAAGCCCACTGTCACACACAAACTCATTTTAAATTACTGTATACTTTACAGGGTGCTTTCAAAATATAGGAGTTTTTAGATTATAATGTTGTACTTACTATGAGAAAGGAACTTAATATCCTGAGCTTCAGTGTTCGTGTTACTGAAATTTAATTTCTAATTGGAATAAAAATGTTCATGGTAGCTCATGCTAAAACTTCCACAAAAGCCCTCCAGACCTTTATTAAAGGTCATTGTACAGAATTGGATTACTAAAACGGCAACTAGTCTCAGAATGTATCAGATTTACAATTTGTACCAAGACACAACAATGACATTTTCTGGGATCATGGAAGATTACCTCCTTTCAAATTTCAATCCCTCCCTTTTGACCCAAGTAGCAAATTAAAGATCAGCCTCTAGTTCATTTTGAGGCAAAGCTCAATGCATTAAGCCATATTAATACTCTGTCCACAAGGCATTCCCCATTTCAAACCACATACAATACACTAATGGTTCCCTACACCACCCTACTGGCATAGCTGCAAATGTCTTGACAATGGGTGATGCCTTATATTTTAAGTGGGGAGTCTGTATAAACAACCGAGTCTCTATTCTTCAGACCAAACTATTTACCATAGTTCTTGTACTCAAATGTGTACACATCTTCAAACTTGACATATTGTGATACTTTATCATCCTTAATTGTGCTGCTCTCTTAAGTCACAATTGTAACAAGCTCTTGTCTGAACTTACACACAAATACAACAAAATTATTAATGGTCACATGGTTCACATTATTTGGATTCCACCTCATGATGGCCTCCAAATGCATGACAGCTGATATGTTAGTCAAAGAATCTGCCTTCACAGGAGTTGACTATAGCCTTGGATTCCCTATGAGCACCTTGAGAGCAATAATACACCAAGAACTTCAACAAAACCTTGTGGATCTAAGGCAAAGTGAAACCTATACTAAACATTCCATTTATCATCATATTATCATCCAAGAAGAGCCACACATACATAAGAGCCAGTAAAATCAGCAGACTCCTAGAAGTTATTACTGCTCGGCTTAGACTCGTTGGCAAGTATCTCTGGGGAATCTGCATTACCTGCTGATGTAAACCTGACATTGTAAACTGTCAGCAAAATTATTCGCACACCCTCTGTCACTATGTGATGGAATGTGAAAAGGTAACTGAATTTGAAGGCGGCTCTATGACAAATGTTAAAGAAATGAGTAAATAATTATTTAAAAATGATCTATCAGAAATGTTTGCCAAATATCTCCAGTTTGCTAACTCATAGGGAGTAAATGTGGGCAATTTCTGAAAGAAGTGCCTGACCAATAGGGTTTTAGTGGGCCTGCGGGCTACTCCAAACAACAGCCTGTTGGACCAAATCATCAAATCAAGCCTGGCCCCAGGCTGGGCTTGGGGAGTAGAGAAACTCCCGGGAACCCTCTTAACGTAAACTCAGATTGTAACCTTTCCACTGCCACCCACTGGATAAGGGTGGTGTGCATTGTTAGTAAATCAAATTATAAAACTAGATCACCCCATATGTTAGTTGCTTAGCTTAAAGACAGTACTTGTGGTTGTTCTCGGACCCATTGTAGATATAATAATTCACAAAAAAAAAGTAACTTAAGATTAACTTGTTTAGCTAAATAAATTTTGGGGTTTAGTTCTAGAGCCCATTATGTGCCTCTGTAACCCTTACCACTACTGCCCATGGGATAGGTATGAGGTGCATAATAAATGAACTAAACTAAACAATGTTGGAATATAATAGATACTAAGATTAATTTTTGTCAAACTTGTATTATTTTACTAACTTTTAATAATTGCAGCTGCATTTATACTTAAATATACAACAATCTCTACAAATACTCTGAATGAACTAGACACCAGACAATCCCTGACGCACAATCACAGTATGTTTCACAAAACTTAATCTAAATGCAAACCATTGTGTTTTAGAGTACAAAACTTATTTGCAACGTACGAGTATACAGTAGATGAATTATATCGGAGGGGCAGAAAACCAGACGCCTGTCACAATTTCCTTATCAAGGGGGCAAGAGTCAACATAGTGACCTGACCTAATAGTGCTCAACCTGATGGGCCAAAGTGAAACTTCAGTTCAGCACCAGTGCCATGCTAACGTTTTACACAAAAGTGTCATATTTCAAAGCATTTTTCAAAAGTAAAGCAGCAGCGAGGATTGCAACAAATTTATTGGGACAACACTCGCTAATAAAAGGTTAGTCAAGTGAAGATTACCAGAGCAATTCTAACTATTTTCATATAAAACTTGTGGAAAGATCGGGGAATGTAAATTGTATCTTCTAGTATCTCTCTATACAGTATATAAAAATATATTATCAAAGCTCTTTGGTTATTTTATAACAATACTATTTTCAATATGTAAACTAAAAATATAATTAAATGTATTTCTATAGACAGTCTTTTTTTTTTTTTTTTTTTTATCCTGATTTAACATTATAGTTAGGGAAAACAATATTATATCTATTAACACAGCTAATGTTTTATATTTTCCCTGCTGTGCAACTCCCATATTAACCGTTCAGCAAAGGTGTGGTGAGCGATAACAATGGCCGATACCAATTAAGTCTGCGTCTGTGACTGACAATGACCAATAGTAACCTGCCAAGCATCTTTTGCAACACAAAGCCAAAAAAAAATTACTCCTTGGCTGGGATTCAAACTTTTACATGTTCTTTTAAGTGTAAGGGCAGCACTTTACACAGTACCTTAACTAATACATGAGAATACAGTTACAGGTATATATAATCACCCAATAGGTAGACAATAACTCCTAGAACAAAAAAAAAATATTCTAAAATTATGTTCCTCAATAAAAGCTTCCAAAAAAATAAATACAATAGTTTTACAGCAAGTGTTCTCGGTGAAGTAAAGACAACAAATAGACTGGAAAGGACAGCATCTTAGTACAAGCTTGCATTAGCCTGATGAATAGTGTAACAATCTGTACCCAAACAATTTATAGTTTTATGCATAAAGTAAGAGAATTCCATGATGATAACAGTACAGTATTGTATACACATCACTTTCATACATTATGTCCATAAAGTCATTTTAATTGTGGCAAAACATTTATGTACAAAAAGATGAACAGTTCATAGAAGGAAATGTTCGATATACAAATATACATATATAAAATCTATAATCCCCAAATAAGACAAGTATACAGTACTTTATTTTAACCCGATGGTTAAGCTTGAAAACAAATAGAAAAATTGAAGATGGCATATTGCATATTTCTGTTAATCAAATTCTTTTAAAGATTTTATTTAACCAGAGCAGCCAGCATTCAAGTGTCACTATATTTATATAGTATAAATGATGGGATTTAGTATTAGTATATCATAGATTACTTTTGTTTGACCAATTTATTTGTTTTTTTCTTTTATATTAATATTAGTGTATTTTTAAAAAATCATTACTGACCTGGTATTTTGTTGAAAGCTATATTTCTTCTTGGTAATGATAAACTATTGTCTTCAATAACACTTTACAACAACAACATAAAAATTGCCCATTGATTTACTTGCTACTCAACGAGTCATAACCTGACCTCTTCCAGGTAAAACATGAGCTTGTACTGGTCCCCATGGTATCAGTTCTCCATCTACACTGAGACATCCAGTGGCTGTAGAGGGAACAATTCTCAGTGCCTCCACAGCAATTAGCTCCACTCCAGGTATACTGACGTGGCTTCCATCCAAACCTAGAAGCAGCTGCAACAACAACAAATTAAGTGAGAGATTTTCTCTAAACCAGTGTTGAATGAAATGAAATGTTCCCTTCTGGCAGGTCCTAGTATTTTAGATCTCCATGTGTCTAACTATTTGGTTCTCTATTCTCCCAGTCTATCCTTCCAGTAATCATACTGTGATTACTATGATTACTGTACAACTCCCCCCACCTCATACAAGGGGTAAGGGGGTTTTGCAAAGGCCCTTGTTCAGTTTATTAAATATGTTCCAGTGTAAGCTCAAAGATGCTACTGAGGGGGCCTATCTAGAAAATAATGCATACCTACAAGATAAAAAAAAATACAATAAACAGGAATGAAATTACATGATGTACTAACCTTAGCAATGGTACTTTTTGGAGTTTTTCCTTTGATCATCATCATCCACATGCACCCATCATTTGGTGTGGCTTTGGGAGCAATGAAAACATCACTGCTTATATGACTATGGTAGGAAACATGCACCAGTATGAAGTTATCTGCAGAGAGAGATTAACAACATTAAGAAAGCAGAAATATGTAACAGCTTAAAAACCCAGCAAAGTAATTACAGTGGCACCTCGATTAAAGAGTTTAATCCGTTCCGGCTCTGAGCTCGTCATGTGGAAAACTCGTCTTGCGAAACAACAATAAAACTGTGGTAAAAGGTGTCCGAGAACCAGCGGAAATACTCGTTAATCGAGGAAAAGCTTGTTAGTAGAGACAAATGTTCTGCGAGTGGCTCGCTCATTACTCGAAATGCTCGTAGATAGTCGCTCGTTAATCGAGGTGCCACTGTATCCAGTACTGAACATTATTTAGTGCAAAAATTAGTAATTCAAAATACAGTACTACGCTTAATGTCAGTCCACAACAAAGAAATGGTACACTCAGCTGTACTGTATAATGTTCACCTACTCATCAAAATTAAACAAATGGTGGCACCCCAAAAATCTAGACCCCAATACAGTGGATTTCACAAAACTCCACACCAAATATGCCCAGTAGATTTTTCCTCTGAATCATGATTCCATGAAAGATGCAGTGATATTCAGACCAGTTCATTTTCATAAAATTTTAAGTTTTCCCAATCTTAATTTTGTATTAACCTTGCTAGTACACAGGCTGGATTTTAAATACCTGAAAATTCCAAATGCCCTTGCAGGGGCTAGAACCTCCACCTGCATGATGCAGTGAACAGAATGATACAAAAATGAGGACAGATCCAATACACATACACTTGGTTCTGGTTTAGCAGCGGGTACCAAAGCATGTCCCATCAAACCACACTTAAAAAAATACAAGACAATGAAAACATATGAAGGGTGGTTGAAACAATGCCATGAACTGCAACTCGCAGGGGATTGGAGAAGGAGTTGAACTTGTATGGGGGACAAGATATAACGGATCACAACCTGATGGAATACCAAATCTTCAGGGTTAGGAACCTAACTCCAAAGAGAAGCAAAGAACAATAATAGACCCACATCTGGTAACCCTCAGGTCCTGCAACCTTTTGCCACAGGAGAAGGAAGGACCAAGGAGAGAGCATACAACCATCTGGGAGCCTGGACCCTAAGAAGCAGGGACCCCAAGATGAATTCCAAAAGACAAGGGAAATCAAGCAGTATGTGTATAGGTAGGCCCCCTTACATCCATTACATCCCAAGGCAAGTACACTGCATATACCAGTCCTGTAGCACAGTCGGTGCCTTTTTTTTTTTTTCTTTTAAGTTGAGAGGACTTTCTTCTCGCCAACAGGCCAAGCACAGAAGAATAAATCTCATGCACTGTCTGGAAATGAGGCAACTAAAGAAGAGTTGCTTCCTAGAGAAGGATAACCTACAACCTTTCAGAACAGGTATCTTTGGTGGGTAAGAAATTCAAGCTGACCCCAAGGGAACTATGGCCACAGCTAGACCAAAATGGAATGCACATACAAAGTGGGTGGTGCGCGAACACACGCACGCACGTGCGCACACAGTCTGTCATGGTGTATTGGTCACTGTACTGGATATGTTAGTGCATTTGGAGAGCCAGACTATTTGAGGTTCGAATTCTTCATGAGGAAGAGTTTTCTAAACAAAGCTGCTGACGAAATATAAGAAAATTTGCTTTTGCAAACAGAGTGGTAGACAGTTGTAACAAGTTAGGTGAGAAGATGGTAGAGGCCAAAACCATCAGTAGTTTCAAATCATTAAATGAAAGAGTGCTGGGAAGACGGGACACCATGAGTGTAGCTGTCATCCTGTAACTACACTCAAGTATTTACACACACATACAATGGTGAAGCATAAACAAAGCAATGGCACCCAGCAGAATGTAATATTCCAGGGAAAGCCAACATCGCTTAGCTAAAAGCAGGATGCAGATGATAAGCCAAGCAGAGGCTGCAGCCATTTGAAAGCTCACAAGGTGGAAAAGTAAGAAGCAGGCTGGTTGACTGGCTGAGACCTCAGGTGACATAGCATGTTGTATTATGGCAGTGAGCTCATCACATTTAGGTTAATAACGCTGCAGCAATAATTATTTCCCATGTTTACCTAGGGGTACCAAATATCCTAAAAAGCAGTCACTTGTTTAGTTGTGTCTATGCTTTCTGATGTGTTTCCCAAGTTTTGTGGTTGACCTCTGACCCTTTGACTCGTCAAGTGAGCCAGATTTTCGTCCTGCTCCTAGGTAGGCAATGAACAGGTCTCAGACGCTCGGTGTGTTTGGCAACGGCTTAAGAGAAACCAGAGTAACGCTCAGAAAGCCATTCACGGGTTCCTCTTCAAAATAATAACAAGATAATGATGGTGGCAACATTATCTTACTTTATTTGGCTCTGGAACATCCATCACATTAACCTGTAGAAAGTTGTGATATGTATCTACTATATCAATGCTATCCATTTGTCTGTAAGGAAGGATACATCTTAAGCATTGCATACTGTATAAACTTTACCTTTAACAGTCTCCCAGTCATCAGGAACAGGCTCATTAATATCTGGCATTAAAAAGTCATTCCCTGCTTCAATATTATCCTCCTCACTGTTATTTTCTTTTATAGAATGCTCATTTTGATCTATTTCAGTATGATGGTTTTCTTGTCTGAAGCCCTCATCTGTGCAAGAATTCTGCTGTGATTCTTCAGATTCAACCTTAATGAGGGATGGGCTCAGGTCAAAGGAGGCATAATTTTCTCCCTGCAAGAAATAAAAAATTTAACCTTTTTAAAACGCTTCCAACTTAACATATGCAACTTTATTAACTAGAAGGTTGCAATTTGTCAACATAATAATAATAAATTATTCACAAGAAGGTACAATGGGTTGGTGAGATTACATAAGATTGGTACTGCATTTGTACATTCTTGCAAAGCCACTAACATGCATAGCATTTTGGGAAGGTCCTTAATCTAACGTATCAGGTTAGAAGAAAAAGGTACATTGTAGCAAGATTTTATATCAATAAATAACTACAATATAAATTAACAGAGGTGAGTGCACTGGTAAAGATATACATCTTAAGTACTGATATTGGGGGAAATGAGTAGTACAATTCACAGTGAGAGTTTGAAGCACAAGGTAGAAAAACTATGAGGATGAAATTAGGTACTTTTTGGTTTTACGTTTGAATAGGGCATAGGTTGGAAATATTTTAATTCATCAGGGATCGAGTTCCAAAGTCTGGGTCCTTTATTTGCATGGAGTATTTTTGCACAGATTTAGTTCGACTCTGGTGATACCAGAGATATTTATTTCTGGTGTGGTCCTAATGGGTTCAATTACATCTATCGAGTTAAAGTTTCAAATCAAGATTAGCATTTAGGAACAAGGTTTTGTACATGTACATAGCACATGAGAATGTGTGGATTGCATGTTTAGCATGTTAAGGGACTTAAACAGAGGGGCTGTGTGTTGTCTGAAGACGGTTTGTTATAGTTGTTTGTCATATCATGTTGACATGATAATGTCAACTCGCATCAAATTACATGTAGCGCATAACATTTTTATATACTCGGTACCAAGTAAAAGTCAAGCACATGCAAAAGTATATTCTGAAGCACTTTCAGAATCTTTAATACTGAAGGTTTAATTAAACTGAATGTCATGGAAAGCGTAATCTACACTTTGTATTAGCTATGCTGCAGACACTGATGAAATCATCAACTAATGAAGATATAAAATCAAATTGTTAAATGTTTGTGTTTGCTACATGCCAAAACAACATTAAAGAGCCAAAAACAGGAACAATGGAGATGCAGCATGTACCAAGTGGTACAAAACACATGGTTCATTGCTGTAAGCTAAAGTTATTTTAACCCATTGCAGCCGTTTCACATACGAACACACGAAAACAGTGTAACAGGTTGTCATGCATACCAATGCAAGTGCCACTATCCCACCTCAATTTGGACCTCAAATAAAACAAACATTTGAACATAAAAAAAATTAATGAAGTAGGTAATGCAAGACTCAGGTGCACCCCTGTCTGGATTACAATATCCATGCATGGAGATCTCATCTTCAAAAAGACACATCTGCTTTCGAGAAAGTACAACATAGACCTACAAAAACCATCCCAAACTATGCCAACTCATACCAGAGGGCCACAAAACTAACAACACTGCAAATCAGATATGACACGGTGGATCATATTTAAACTTTTAAAATACAGTACTGAAGTAAGTGGATAATATTAATCCAGACCACTTCTTTGAAAGATCACATGTAACACATAAGGGGCAACAGCTTCAAATTCAACACGTCCCATGTCGGACAGAATATAGGAGATGCTTTTTCACCTATACTATTTAGTTATAACAACATAGGGCTGCCTACCCACCAAAGCCGTAAATGGCAAATGACAAATGCCTTCAGCTCAAAAAATCAACATGAAAAATGAGGCAACCATTGTTAAGCCACCAGCTTCCTGTCCCCATTGTGACCACTAGATAGATGGTAGCCTCCAGGTAAATTCAGGTAAATGTTAATTTTTTCCTTTGAAATAATAAAGCTTGTATCCAATAAAACAGCAATGCATTAACACACAAAGTAAATCAGAATTATGGGACTTATAATTGAAGCATCAGTAACAAAAGAATGAATATCAGCACTGGTGAGGTCCCACTTGGTCTACACTGTAGTTCTGGTCACCATGATACAGAATAGACATAGGCTCCAGAAAATATAAGGACAACAAGGCTGATACATGGTATCAAGGACCTTTCCGACAAAGACCAATTGAAGTGTCTTGATCTGAACTCGCTACAAACATGCAGGACAATGGCTTGATATGACCGAGGCTTATATTGGGTCAGTCATAAATGAGGGAGATAAAAACCAGGGCTCTAAAATTGTCAGAACAGGTCATAACACACAATAGATACAAGCTGGAGGAATTTGATGTTTGAGGAGGCATATAGGGAAGTACATGTTTGGAAAGAAGGTTCTGGATGAGTGGAATGGGCTGCCAGCCACCATTATTGAGACAAACAAGAGCATTTAATTTCACCCAAATATTTATGAAGGTGCTATCTTGAACCAACTCCAGCAAGAGTGAAACATACCAAATTAAAAAATAAAATAAAAATGCAGTGTAGAACTTGTGTGAGTAAATAGGAGACATGCCTTCATAGGCAGAAATAGAGAAATTTAATCTATTATTTTATTGAATAAAACAGAAAATACCTACCGCTGTCGAAAGAGACTGACTCCTTTTCAGAGAATCAGGCATGGCTTCTGATGCTATTACTGGCTCCACAACTGTCTGCGAATGTTGAAGATGTGGTCTGATCTTATGGATAGTGTTAGAAGATTTTGTCTGTATACGCTTGAAAGATATGGTAGCATTATATTTGCGTAAATCTGCAGAAAAAAAATATCATTATGTATCTCCTGCATATTGTATTCATTTATGATTTTTCTTGAACTTTCTGCATTTTGTTAGCTTCTCTAGAATTAAGAATTCTTTTAGAATTAAGTGTTTACCCCTTCACATCTTTAATTAATTAATTAATCTAAATTATTCTAAGTTTTGCCCAAAATGTTTTGCATAATAATGGCTTCAAATTTTGTATTTGTAACTCGACCCTACAATTGTATATTACTCTTATGTTCTGCGTACAAACACTTTTGATTAAAATTTATTATTATTATTATTACTGTACTATTATTTAGGATAAAAACCCACACCTGTGTATTTGTGAAATTTATGTAAGGAATTTCCATCAAGTTTTTAGCAATCTCCTGACTGCTTTGTTAAGGTCTGAGTGTGTGATTAAGATAAGACTTGCATCTCAATGTCTAAAGTAGACGTTGAGGCATTAGACGTTGAGATGCAAGTCTCGTCCTAATCACACACTCGGACCTTGACAAAGCACTCGGGAGAATGCGAAAGACTTGGTAAATTTTTTACATAAATTTCACAAATACACAAGTGTGGGTTTTTATTCAATGTTATTTTTATCCAATTTTGATCCAATGTCTGTGAGAACACATTACCATTACTAATTATTATTACTGTTGTTGTTATTATTAGAAGGTTAAGTGGTGTTACACTGATTTAACAAAATGCATGCATTTGTTGCAAGTCAGATGAATTTAATAGCGCACCTAGTTTCAGCAAAAACTTTTTGTGCAATTGTCAAGGACATATTTTTTTTGTTTTTATATATACTGTATTAAGGTAAAATTAATGTCAAAATGCTTCCAAACTCAACTATTTCCATTTCAAAACACAGAGAGTAATGAAAACATTAAAAAAAAAACATTAAAATATAGCCTAATTAAAAATAAATAGCACAACTCTCAAGAGTGCCTAATGGCACTTTGAGCAGTGCTTTGGTTAAGACTTTAAATTGGTTAGTTTGGCTATTAGGTTATATAACTAAAATATAATCTGCTGCACACAGGCGGCACGGTGGTGGTTGTGACGTCATGCTTGTTTGCTTGTTTTTAGATTGGGGAGTTCTGCTTAACAGTTCGACTTTCTGTAGCAATGTTTTCAAGTGGGGGTCTGTTTTGAGAAGCCTACCATTCTGGGTACCTATCCCGGTCGATGGCACTGGGGGCTAGTCATATTGGCATAAGATAATATGACTAATGGTTGAAGGTATGAGGATTGAGGAGGAAGGTTTGCAGCCCCCTGGTAGTGTGCATGTGCTACTGTTTGAAATGCTTCACCACAATGCGATTCGTAAATCTCGAGACTTTGCTGTCCCATTTTCAATGCTTTGTTTACGATCCCCTGCTACTCGCCTCTCTTTAGAAGGAAAGGGGGGGGGCAAAACTTGGTCTCTGGTCTCCAGTAGTTTTATGTATGACTTGCAAGGGCATGGTATAGTTTAAATTGGGGGATCTTGGTTAAGCAAGCACCAGGGAGTCACCATTATGAGCCCCTCACATAAAAATCTAATTTCTCAGTGTAATGGAAGATTCAGAACCAACTGATCAAGCCACTCAAGATATTACTGTACATTCAAACACTACATACAGTATTTTGTTGTGCAGAAATTCTTTTAACTGAAATTTACTTAAACACCAACATCATCACTACTCACTTGCTATTCGAGCTAAAGACCACACAAAAAATCTTGCCTCTCCAATTCTTCGAAGCCGTTCACTCTCAATGTCTATGTCGGAGATGAGTCCAAACCCAATTGAGAGAAACGAAAGCATTTTCTGAAAAAATAAACCACGTATAAATTCAGCTATTTTTGGTTCCAACAAAGCCTTGGTCTTGATTACGTAACAAATCAGTTTGACATGCCATTCCTTTAACCCTTTCAGTTGGGTAAAGCTTTAACCCATAGTACAGATATTTTCACATGTTGACTCATGGTGTAATGCAGAGCTCATCATATGTATTGGAATTATTATTGTCTGTTTTTTATAAATGATGCTGACATGGATATTATAACCATGTATGGAAGTACTGGAGTTTACCTTCACCCCATGAGAAAACGCCTATGAATGCAAAACTGTTTATTATGCAAATGCAGTTACCGTCACAAGTTACATGCCAATGTGGAAATTATAATGGTATCATATACCATGACAATTACATGATATGTATACCAATTACATACGTACATATAGTTTTCCGAAATATTTTGTTTTAATGAAGCCTCTTCCATATGTACATTCAAGATAAATTTGCACCTAGTGTATTCATTTATTACATGAAGATGTTCCAGATTGGTACAGAATGTTGTAGAAAATAAACCCTTCAATAATCACTAGAGTTTTTTATCATGAGTTTTGGTAACTTGATTACTCTTCTTAACCCAGAGAGTAAGACAATAGTTAGAAACGTGGAAAGCTTATACAGTACTATAAGATCAACAATACCTGCAATGCAGTCATATTTAACTAAATATGCATAAAGGAATGCTTGTTGCCCAAGTATAAAAAAAGCACTAATAATAATAATAATAATGAATTATTAGTGCTTTTAGTCATCTTGCTTTAAATAAACATATTGGACAAATTGAGAAAATTGCTTTGTAAGAGCTTACAAAATTATAACAGCATTAAAAAAAAATGTATACTGATCTCAAAATTGTCTTACTGTGCCCTCTGCCGTTTGAATAATTGCTAAATCCAAGGGAGACAGGTGCCCATGTACTATGTTGAGCGCAGACACCAGGACAGGGTTGCCCATGTAAGGTTCACTGTAAGGACAAAAGTGACTGTCAAGGTTTTGCAATCGTGTGAGCGTCGACACACAAACCACACACCTTAAATGAGAAATACGTACTGCACCTTTTGCATAAAAAGGAAAAAAAATTACACAATTTAAATTAAACAAATTAGTAATTGGATACAGGTATAAAATACAGTACTTGTACAACACAATAAACTAAGCCAATGGCCTTGGGTAGATAAACTGATTGTCCAACAAATCAGTAATTTCTTAAGATATTAAACATTCAAAAGCAAATGATTTGGATTGTTAACCCATGAACTGCATTAGGTATTAAATATGACAGTCCCAAGGTGTAAACATTCCCAAAAATTGTCTAATACTGTTAAAATGAGTTTGCTGATCATGGGAAGTAAGTACCATACAGTACTTACTTGAGCCAGTGTGCCAGAGATCTTGCCAAGCCATTACCTGATCCACCAGGAATAATGCCAATAGGAAACTGGATTGCTTGCTTCCAGTCTGATCTTCCCAGCAGTCCATTGTACACCTATTATAAAAAGTTCTTACATTCGTATCTGATAAAACAATTTTTAACACTTTCCCATTCTTATTGGAGGCAAATCTCAAGAAAGGAGGACTAGCATTACCAAGGTCTTGACATGGCAAGAATGACCAGTTTTATATATATTGTCTAAGAAATAATACATCGTAAACTGTACAGAAAATTAAGTTAGGCTTTAGCTTCTTGTATTGCTTATTAGGGGCACCAATCTACAAGCATAAAATGAGCAGAAGCTACAAGCTGAACAATTATTTAGTGTACAAAAATACAAAAAATATGAACATCTTAAAGTACATACAGTAAAATAAAATACAAGCTTCAATGCTAGAAATCTAATTCAGTAAAATATTACATTTCTATTTGGAATCTTTGAAAAATAAGAAACTTGCTAACCTCAAAAAGCAGGCCATCCCCAGACATAATGACAAATCCAGAATACTTTGCGAGGTCAAGAGTCTTGACTAGTTCCATTGCGTGGTTTGCTCTCTCTGTCACTATAACATCATGAGCAACTTCTGCCTCGCCAAAAACTGCTGCCACCTGCTTCTTGTACATCTGATAAGCCTTTCCGGGTCCCGAATTTGGATTGATAAGCAATAAAAGTCTTTTACTCTTATCTATTTGGGGATTTGCCGTGCCTGTGGGAAAAAATCATTACAGTACATATATTTTTAAAATTAAAGTGCTGCACTGTATTTTCCTGTACAAAAATTACACACAGCTCTTTTAAATATATATTTTCATACAAAAATTATTACTGCACTATTAAATACAGTAATTTTTTAACAAAATTTATACAAAATAGCAAATACTAAAGAAATAAACTACCAGTAGTTAAAAATCTAGATATGTCACCTTTTTTATAATACAGGGCATTTCAAATTTTTAATATCATTTGCAATGTAATTATCTGAGTACAGTAACTACGGTATATATTCTAGGTATTGAAGTAATTAATGAAGTAAGGGCGAAGAGGTAGAACAGCTTATTGATAGAGCTCGGATGCATGGGGGAATTGTGTAAAATCCTGGTTTGTGTCTCAGAGAGGCTGCAGGATCCGAGTAAGGTCAATAGAACTTCCAGTTGCAATTCTTTTAACCATGTCGTAGCTCAGTCGATTAAGGCAGTGTCTGGGATCCTCTAGGATGTAGGTTCGAACCCTCATCACGGCCCTTGTGGATTTGTTCATTTACTGTACTCATAAACCCTACATCAAGATGTAACAATGTGGAAAAGTTTTAAATTGTAGAGAACTTTCATTAACCTTTTGGCTGCAGTACTTCTGTTTTGATACCCACAATTTTCTTGGTCAGGTAATTATCTTGAGAAAGCACTAGGCTAGTGTGACTACTGTATATAGCACTTGGAAGGAATTTGAGGACAAGGAGCTGAAACATGAGGAAGGAGTGAAGGGACACTGCCCCAACCACTCTGACCATTGGGAATCAAATGCCAACCCTGCAAGAAGTGAGTGTGTTGGTTCTCAGACCAGTCCTGTATTAATAGGGATTTTAAGCCAAAAAATCAATGAATAAATATTTTAATAGGTAAATAGGATACTTGAATTCATGTATAAAAGCATTAGCATAGAGATATCTAATATTCTTCAGCTGTATCTTACCCTTGTAATCACCATTTAGATTATACAGTTTGGTTTTGATGACCATACTAGAATATATATATAGAAGACGACAAACTTAACCCTTAAAGTGCATTTATCGTACGTTGATTTAAACTATTACTGTCTGGCCTTTACACTAATAGTGTAATACTGTAATGCTATATGATGTGGTGGAGTTTACCTTGACCACATAAAAAACCTGCTATCATTTCATGATTACCTTACTATACAAACCAGTTATTGTCATAAATGTTACCATGCCAATGTGGTAGTTGTCATGGTACAAAATTCCATTATCCAATAATTACCTATGTACTATATAGATTGTGTTCATATGGTTTTCTCAATTAAATATGGTTGTACTGTATTGAAGTACTGTATACTAGATCAAAGAATCATGGGAACCTAATAATAAAGGACCTGCAGAAGGCTTATTGGCCAAAATAAAGCAGCTCCTATTTGTACATCCACTCACATTCATTCATGTGTGAGCTTATAATAATTATTCTTTTTGTCAGGGGACCGGTAGCCTGTGTACGTATATGCATTATGCTTGCATCAAGGTCCCAGGTTGAATTACTGCCCTGGGGTAAAAACTTAAAAAACGAGACATACAAATTAATGGCGTTAATGGTAAAAACATCATTAATGCACCGCAATTACCATAGTTCCTGATCGCCTTATGGACAGCGCTCCTCCAGGTATTTGCTACCTCTAAATTCTGCTCGAAGGTGTCTTCCTTATCGACCTCGAAGGAGAGGGCGAGTCTCCTCCTCTTGCCAGTGTCATTCAAGGGATAGGCGTAAACAGTGAAGAAAGCCAGGTGCGACCTTGGCTCCTCTGGGCCTGCCTTCATGCACAGACAACCCACCAGGTCAGACACCTTCACCACTCTCCTCTGTGTCGTGCCCTGTGCCCCACTCGATGCCCTCCACACCGTCAGGCCAGTCTCGTCTATCCGCACGTCGTACGGCTCGCCCTTCTGTTTATACTGTCTGAATCTATCTTGGAGCGACCAAACGTCGTCCGTGCGTCCCCTCTCCATGGTGGGCGGCTCGTCACTGTCAGCTGGAGCACACGGTTGCCGGCTCTCAATTACTCAAGGTAGCCCGAGCTGGAGGAGCTAAACTCAGCAAATTTGTAATACATTTCTGTTTAGCGACTGATAAGCTAAATATATTAATAGTATGTCAATATCTAGAGTACACGGCATGATTTAATGGTTAATTAATATTATCATTGCATGTACTTAATTTAAAAAAAAAGCGATAACAGGATAACTTACCAATATTTGCTGCCTGAAGCATAATTATTTACTTGGATTTACCTGAGGGCCGCTAACGCTATTGGCATCGACGAAAACAGGAAACCAGCGGTTTGTCAAAGATCCCCCATTTGCCTGCACACACCATTTATGGGTGTGCAGTCCCTCTCAAGGTTGAAGATTATTTAACACCAGTCAACAAAAATCATCCCAGAGCTTAGTTATCTCTCGTATCAGCAACGGTTGAGGGCCACAGAGCTAACAACAATGCAAACAGGCATGACGGGGCGGATTTCATCGAAACATTTAAAATAATGAACAATTTGAAGGATGTCGATCCGGACAGTTTCTTCCCAAGATCAGAAGTAACACGAACGAGGAGCAGCAGGTTCAAGCTCATCAAAAATGGGGGACCTTTGACAAGTCGCTGGCTTCCAGTTCTCATCGAGGCCACTAGTATTTATCCTCAAGTAAATTAATAATAATTACTTCTCTTGGACAAGTAGCTAGTATGTTCACAAATTTGTGTTCGCAGAACACAAATGTTCGCATTTGTGTTCCTCACGTGTGCATCAAAGAATGAGGTGATTTGATAAAATGCTATGCCCAAGATTACCATCAGAGTGCCGGCGGGCTGATGGGCAAATAGCCTCGGCTACCATCAGGTTTTGTCCGGTCGTGATGGTCGAATGGATTAGGTGCCCTGTACACCAGCTGCAAAGTGCTCCTGGCAGTATGGGTTCGAGTCACTTCTAGGGTGTGAGTTTTCAGTTGCATGTATGCCTGGGGACCATTCAGGCTTGTTCGCATATAATATATTATATATATATATATATATATATATATATATATATATATATATATATATATATATATATATATATATATATGTCGTACCTAGTAGCCAGAACTCACTTTTCAGCCTACAATGCAAGGCCCGATTTGCCTAATAAGCCAAGTTTTCATGAATTAATATATTTTCTATAATTTTTTTCTTATGAAATGATAAAGCAACCCATTTCATTATGTAAGAGGTCAATTTTTTTTTATTGGAGTTAAAATTAACGTAGAAATATGACCGAACCTAACCAACCCTACCTAACCTAACCTAACCTATCTTTATAGGTTAGGTTCGGTTAGGTAGCCGAAAAAGTTAGGTTAGGTTAGGTTAGGTAGGTTAGGTAGTCGAAAAGCAATTAATTCATGAAAACTTGGCTTATTAGGCAAATCGGGCCTTGCATAGTAGGCTCAGAAGTGAGTTCTGGCTACTAGGTACGACATATACATACATACATACATACATACGCATGTTAGGCTTACATGGAGGTCCATAAAGAGCCAAACTATAGCTCCCCAACACTCTTTGTCATATAATGCTGTGAACGTGGGAGTGTGTTCTGTTCTATAATTGTAGGAGAGTGTTCTATGAACACGGGAGAATGTTATGTACTCTGTCCGATGAATATAAATAATAAAGTTCTTTTAATTTGAGTATAACACCAGGATTTTGACGTTGTGGTTGCTAGACTCAAACCCGTACATTAAGTGTGAGGAGAGACAGACCTACGAACCCTAATATAACAATTTCCAAAATTAAGGTAATGTTCTTTAAGAACAAAGAACACCCAATAATGATATCCAGTTGAAGAAAATTATTATTTAGGGTTTGGATTTATCAAGCCTTTACACAACCATTTACGAAGCCTATACATTTCCTATTAATAATGGTGGATTTCTTTACATTTATTAAATAGTTTACGAGCTTAATATACCATAAAAAATATTAAGAGTTTAAGTTATTATTCTTGTAAATAAACTCGTAGTGCTTCGGGGCTCCTAAGCTGCTTGATGTAAACAAAGCCGACATAATCGATGTAAGATGTTCATTTTTCGAAAGTTGATGCGCAAATAGTTGATGTATTCTGGCCCTGCAGAAGAACAAAAATGACGTGAGGACATTCTTAATGTCACCCAAGACAGACTTTGAGTTGACATTTGCATTTTCTAAGAGTTTGCCCCTAATGGGTCATGCGGACCGGAGAGCAAGGTATTGCCTGCTATGAATAGTTCAAGCAGTTTCTCTTACTCCAGTTTCGCCAGAAGAGAGGAACTGGAGGAGGAGAATGCAGAGCATATTTAGAGATGGCTCGATAGAGGAGTAAAATGGAATGGGAACGATAATGGTGGGATTCGAACCCGGTCCATAATGTGTGAAGCGAACACGATACTACTTGGACGCGAAGAATACGAGGATTTAAACCTTTTCAGGAGTTGATATAGGGTTCAAGAAAGGTCACGGGAGGAACATAGAGAGAAGGGTAGGATGACGGGAGTGAGGGTAGAAAGGAGACAGGAGGGAGGGAGGGAGGTTGAAGGGAAGGAGTGAGGGTCAAGACAATGTAACATTTGTCATCAGGTTGCCAAAAGACCGAGGGTGAACATAGCCATTATATTACACTGATCGATACGGAGTTCACATTCAGATACCAGCTACTTTACAGACAGGGCACTGAAGATCAGTCATGCGAGGTACGGCGACCCAGCGTCAGCCTGCGGCGGCTGTCCTCCTGCTGTTGGTACTGTGGCCGCCTTCGTCAGAAGCCGTGGTGAGCTCGACCAAACGGCCTCGCGATCTGACAGATTCTTCTTCAGCACAAACTTTTGAAGAGCTTTTCCCTAAGTTGAGGGTTGACAGTGCTCTCATGGAGGCGTCTCCAGCTGCAGGAGTCTCCTACAGGGCAAGTCAGGGGGTCCTTAGTCTTGTGGATGAGTCCGCAGTGGAAGGAATCTCCAGTAGGATAAGGAGGAGGGTCGAGAGACAGTCAGTCAGGAGACCCTCCAACACACCAGGAAACCACAAAACCCCCAATCACCAAGTACGAAAAACCATAACTTAGGAAAGTTCATCCTCATGTTAACTTATCGAAACAATTACATTTTGCTTCTACTTTTAAGGCTTGCATTTCTAAACCAATATCCAATGTTACTAGAATTTGGATTTATGACAATGGGCCAGGTTTCAATAGATATTTATGCAACCCCTTACGAAACCTGTACATCTTTCCCTAATCATGGCGGCTTTGTTTCCATTTATTGAACATTTTACGAGCTTCAAAACTTCAGAACCCATGGTTAGTATTGTTATAAACAACCTCGTAGTGCTTCGAAGCTCATAAACTGTCATGTTTTCATTATATTGTTCACGAGGAGGCCTTGTGTACCTAAGTTAGCCTTATCAGACTTGAAATAATGCAAAATGTAACCAGATAGGTAATTATATTTCAGTGAGTGCATTGAAAAAGAGATTAGTTTAGTATTCACTGAGCGAGGGGGAAATTGACGTACACAGGACTACTTGTGTACAACGCTGTTCATTTGTCTTAGTAGAGGTTTTGTCCTTAAACGATATGTTCATCGCTTCGACGAAATTCCTCTGTTTATGACAAATGAGAATTTTTTTTTTTTTGTGAAGAATTATCTGACGTACACGTGCCGTGACGTAGAGATTGTAAAACATAAATCTGATGTGCAGAGTGATGTTTTCCACATTAGTCTCCTCACATTCTAATAATTTCAACACCATAACATCTTTTGTAATCTTGTCTGAAGACTTATAAATGTGTTGTCATAAATGGCACTTTTAAATATTTCTCAAACTTTAAAGAGAAATAACAGATCATAAAATTCCTGAGAAAACAAACATTCAGATCATTCAAATAGATTTTTTTAGCTTTACTGATTCAACTGTTGATCAGCTTTAAGATTTACTAAATACAAGTCATAATTCATAAGTAATCAATTAGACAAACTGAATGTGGAAATATTGCATTGGACAGATCCGGATCATTTTGAGATGCAATTGATAGAATACACACAGAAATCACAATAGCGTAATATATCAAATGAACAAATCCACAAAGGCCTTGATGAGGGGTTCGAACTTACGCTCGGGATAATCCCAGACGCGTGTCTGGATTTGTGCATGCAATTGATTGATTTACAAAGCAGCTCAATTTAGAGGCAAAAAATTGTCGACTTAATTAAGAGCTGGACTAGAAAATATTATGAGATCGGTTAGTGACTGCATTAACACAGAACTTTGCTGAATGTAAGTAAGGTTTTGAAACTCTGGAATTCCATTTCCAAACCTTTTCACTGAAAATTCTCAGTGGCGGTATTAACAGTATTTTCATTGACATGTTCACGCGAGTCATAGTGTTCAGTGATGAACTTTGTCGGGTCTCATTATAGGAGTAGACTTGCCGATGAAACAATTGCTGCAAAACAAAGAAATTCAAAACTGAGATAAAATATCTCATGTCTGGTCCAGCTCCAAAAGTCTCACCCAGAGTAAATAACCCCATTTTCGTCTTTACATTTTTGTTTGTTGTATAATATGAACATTAAACCACAACTTATAATGTTATGTTCACATTTGTTGTTATAACGTAAATTACATTTTATAAGTAATGTTGTTTTTCAATTGTCTTGTTAAAGACATTAATATTAATAATTATCACTTTGCCGCTTCCGGCATATTGAAAAAGAAACATGCCTATGTGCTTCCGGCGTTTCGAGCGCTTACGCGGCAAGACCGAAAAGTGTATACTCTTTTGACTGTCCTGACACTAATTGTCGGCGTACATATTTAATTTTTGTATCACTGTGCTCGCCATAGAATTGTCTATAAGAACATACCTATAAAATGCCTCGAAAGCATAAGGTATATCAACACCAAATAAAGAACCACTGAGATCACTAGCCGAGAGCCCCAAACACCAACAAAATGTTTACTCTCTTCATGGTTGTGAAGCCCACAGTTGTGCTACAGCGTTAATTTTGGTATCACTGAAATTGCAATAAAATTCTCTACACGGACATATGCATATAAATATAGAATCAATGTCGCAGCTCACCCAAAACAGTGTGGGAAGTGGCCGAAGTGTTACCCGGGGTGGCATATCGGCGAAACCCGCATTGAAAAGTGTATATTCAATTCAATGTCCTGACATTATTTTTCGATGTACGTATTTCATTTTTGTACCAATGTGTTTGCAATAGAATGTTCTAGAATAACATAAGTATAAAAGGTCACATAAGGATACGTTCGACCGGTAACATATATAAAAACTACGTCGATTATACTCGTCGTGTCAATAATACAATTGTTTTACCACGATGATTCACTGCCACGCCGTTCTCCTAAATAAACTGTTCGGCTATTAGAGAAAACGTAAATTTCATGGCGAACATTTGTAAACTATCCCCAAGTAGATCGGATAGTAAATGGAATTTATACAAATATTTTTTCTTTGGACTCGTGAGCGCGCCACGCCACCCTACTCAACACAAAGATTGTTGACTCGCTCAGGGTCCACCAAAGCGTGAAAGTGTCATTTGTGTGCAGGTTTTCATTTATTTATCTCTCTGTCTCTCTCTCCTCTCTCTCTCTCTGTCTGAGGGTTGAAATATTATATTGCTTCTTCTAATGTTGGGTAACAGATGATGGCTCCTCCTTCTGTTGGTGCTGACGGTGCTGCTGCTGGTGGCGATGCTGATGATGATGTTCATGCTGCTGCTGCTGTTACAGCAGCTGTCAACACCCTCCTGCCGGGTCAATGCTGGTTCACCATCCTATCTGACGGAGCCCAGACGGAAGCCGCCGCCGTCGTCGCCAGCAGTCTGAGAGAGACTGTAGCTAAAGCAGGTGTCACGGTGAGATGTGTGGGAACAGATGGGCTGTGGTGCGGTGTCTCATGACTGGATGCCAGGCTACAACATAATAACACAGGAAATGAGGAAAAATAACCTCATTTCCCCTAGTGAATAATGATATACTTGGAGAACATGAATTATTATAGCTTGAAAAACACCATGTATTTGAAACACAACCGCTGTAAATATTATAAAATACCTTGTAATGGAATTCAAGAAATGGGAAACGATTTGTAGTCTTAAAATTACATGATGAATTTAGGGTCGTGAAGTACCATTAATGATCAATACTTGCTGAAAATTTTATTGAATGAGACGATCAAGAAGACGAAGTGCAGATAGAGGAGTGCAATGTTGATGTATACGTATCCCGCCCCTCGAGTACCAACAGTCACGTGTCTCTGAACTCACGGAGCATGGAACAACAAGTCACGTAACTGTGGGCTCACGGAGCACCAACTGTCACGTGACTGTGGGCTCACGGAGCACCAACTGTCACGTGACTGGGGGCTCACGGAGCACCAACTGTCACGTGACTGTGGGCTCACGGAGCACCAACTGTCACGTGACTGTGGGCTCACGGAGCACCAACTGTCACGTGACTGTGGGCTCACGGAGCACCAACTGTCACGTGACTGAGGGCAGCAGATGAAGACCACAAAAATAATGTCACGCAAATAACAAACTTACTATAAACTCTAATACATTTCCCTGAGCAGCTGTACTACATTGTATATAGCAGTCCCAGCCTCCTAAATTCACTTATGGTGAAAGATAATTATTTTAACGTTATTCCTTTTCTCAGATATACACACTGAAGGAGGAGGTGCTGTTGAGGGAGGAGACCTGGAGATCATCTCCCTGTGATGTTTATATCTTCATGCTAATGGAGGGAGACGCGTTCATCCGCCATGCTAATGTCAGCCATTATCACGTGTCCACCGCCAACCATCAATCCCCCCACGCCCTCTGGAACTACCACGCCTACTACATAATTCTTCTCTTCCATTCTGGAAACGCCACTCTCAAGCCGTCAGACGTAGCAAAACTTTACAACTTGAGGAAAACTGAGAAATTACTGATCTTACAGCAACGAGAGAATCATCTGGTGGCCTGGACCCACCAGCTTTATTCCCCGTCGACCAAGCTAACATTTCTTGACATTTGGAGCGGCGGAAAATTCCGGAGAGGCGGGAATCTCTTCCCTAAGAAACTGGTTGATATGGAAGGAGTTGTCTTACGTGTGGCCGCGTTTTATCATCCTCCGAGCCTTATTTACGTCCGAGACGATCACCAGAATATTGTCAGCACGGCGGGAATTGATATTCGAGTTGTGGAAACGCTTGCAAAGGCTAGAAACTTTACTGTTGAATATATTGATATCAGCCTCGAAGACATGTGGGGGATTGAGCTACCTAACGGCACATTTACCGGTCTGGTCGGAAGAGTCTATTATGAGTTGGCAGACATTGGTTTATGCAATCTGTACTTAGAGACACACTTTTCGAAAAAAGTTGATTACTCAACTCCTTATAACTTCGACCGCGGCTGCTTCGTGGCTCCCTCCCCCAAGCCACTGTCCGGCTGGAAGTCTCCTGTGATGCCATTCACCTGGGACACGTGGAGCTCTGTGGTCGTGGCTCTGGGAGTGGGCGGTGGCCTCCTGTATCTTGTGGCCACTCTCAGCCACAGTCCAGAGTCAGCAGAGTTCCGAAGTCTTTCTTATGATTACCTTTACATCCTGGGCGCCTTAACAATGCACTCACTCAGAATTGTACCATCGAAGGCACCGATGCGATTGTACATTGGGTTTGTGTGGCTCTTTTGTCTCATCGTCGCTACGGCTTACTCTGCCAATTTGGTGGCTTTTTTATCCTTTACTCCAATGACAACACCAATCAACACATTGATCCAGGTATCAAGAAGTGGCCTGAGTATTGGCAGCAACATCTTCTGGAAGCCCCAGTTTTATGAATCCACTGATCCAGTTGTCCTAGCGATTGCTAAAGTTTTAAGATTTGACTTGGACTATTATTATCTCTATAACTTGGTCGAAGATGGGACATTTATCAACATCGATAGCGTTAACTATATAAACTTTGAGATTAGAACACGCTTCACGTATGGCAGTCATGCATCTATCCGGGTGGTGCCGGAGTGCCTCATGCCCTACAGCATTGGCTTGGGCTTACAGAAAAACTCCCCGTTAAAGTCTCACTTCGACCCACTCATCTTGCAGATGTTGGCGTCAGGGGTAAATTATAAGTGGCAGGAGGAAGCGGTGGCCTACATCAGAGCCCAGTACACCAGCAAGCGGCACCATGCACAAGAGGAATCACACAACAAACCTCTCAACATGGTACAATTCCAGGGAGTGTTCTACATGTATGTTGTCTTGTGTCTGCTTTCGGCAATAATTCTGGCAATGGAAATTGCTGTTGCCTCACGAGGATGCTGAAACACATCCTCAACATGCATCAGCTCCTGAGATGAACCACCCAATAAGTAAAATAATCTAATCATGACATTAATGTATGAGAACTATGGATATTGTACTTTTAACTTTTGTTATTCTTCACCAAAGTTTAAAAATGTTAATAAACTTTAAATTAGAATGAATGATAGAATAATGTAGCAGTTGAACCTTAAATGTTGTTGCAACAGAAAAAAAGAGTATTAACTGGTTACGTAAAATTTAATGTAATTTTTCTTGCTCCAAAAGCAATATTATAGCCGCTTACTTCAAATAAAATTATTTTCCAAGCATCAAAGTTGAGTGGTTCTTGTCATCTGCTACCTTACAAAAATATTAAAATATTTATCTCTTTCTCTCTACTTGGTACATTTAAGATATATATATATATATATATATATATATATATATATATATATATATATATATATATATATATATATATATATAAGGCGTTTATATATCTAGACAGGCTAATCTAGACAGGTGTTTGTCTATATTAGCTGTTTAGGTTCCGTTGGCGAGTATTTGTATTCGAAGTTCGAAAAATGATCGAACGTCATCAGTTCGGAGTCGTGTGTAACAGCTTGTCCTCACAAACAAGGCCAAAGTCCATTCTATGCACCCGCCAAACCCGGATTGCCTCTTTATGCATAGTAGCGTCTATGACTTGCTGCAGTCCGTCCTCCAAACAAAGAACCAAAAGTGATTCCATGCACCCGCCAAACCCCCTGTTTATGAATGAAAAACAGTTTACCAACCCGTCCTCGACTCAAGTTCAATACATCCAGCGGTCGACCCCACAGATGCATTCATGAATTTTTACATGCTGTTTATTCAAAAGGGGAATTTTCTCAAATATAAATTAATGTTTTATTAGCATATTGTGCATATATAGGCATAGGTTAGGTTAGGGTAAGTGTTTAGGTTCTGTTGGCGATTATTTGTGTATTTGTAGTACGTGGGTGAAGTATTTTCAGCTTCCCTACCCTTCCCCACCTTCCCTACCCTTCACCACCTTCCGTGCCCTTCACCACCTTCCCTACCCTTCACCATCTTCCCTACCCTTCACCATCTTCCCTACCCTTCACCACTATACTCTTCACCATTTTTTCTTCATCACTGTAACCATTTTCAATAACAACTATTGTCTTTAGGTCATCATATAAAGTGTAATATCCCAGATGATTGTCAGTGAGGATGGAGTCTGTTATTTAGCGTGACTGGAAATTGGAATCATTTGTCATTTCACGCAAAGTATCAAAAGAGAGCGCCCAGCTGGGAAGCCTATACGGAGACATTGTATACAAAAGGGGAGGGGGCACAGGGGCTGGACACCCCCCCCCCCCCACCTAAGCCTCGCATGATCATCCCCCTATTCAAAGCCTAGTCACCCTCTACAGTTTGGGGAGGCTACTGAACCCCAACCTCTAACAAAGACAAACAAACAAATAAGGAAATGAACAGGACAAGGCAATTAGGAGAAAGCACTAAGAAAGTATGGCTATATAACACTTGGAAGTGATGTGACAGGATAGGAAGGAGTGAAGGAACTGTGAATAACAACTTGAACAATCGGGGAATCGAATTCTGACCCTGCAAGAAGCGACGCCGTCCTAGTGGATGGACAATTCTATTAGGTAGTGATGTATTATATCTTTTGGATCCTTAATTCCTGCTCCCATAGCTCACACACACACACACACACCATTTGTTAAAGAAATAAAAAAACACTTATGGAACTATGTTTATTAAAACAAAAAACATTACATATCATAAATTAACAAATCAGTGTGTGAGTGAAGAATCCATAAATCTTTGGGCAAATATTTTCTCCCTGTGCAGGAGGTCAAAGACCTCGTCGGCCTTCAGCAAGTCTTCGGTCGCGCGGCACCTTCTGCCAAAGCGGCGGCGGAATGAGCCGGCGGCAATCCAGTTCTTTCCCTCTTTCCTAAACACCCAACTCTCGTAGGTCCAGTCCTCGAGGACGTGCACCTGACTGATGATATTATCTGCGAAGCGGACACACTTGGTTTTCTTCTGGTGGCGGCCATCGTCGCCGGAGACCTTTTCCTTCTCCATAGTAATTAGCCGAAGACCAGGCCAGATATTTCAGAAATATCTGAAATGTTGTAAATTTGACGCCTGAGCGTGATTTTTGAGCCGAATTCTGACTGCACCTATTTTCATTTTCAAATTAATATTTTTTATACCGAAAATTGGCCAATTACTGAAAACGGCGAAGGGTTATTTTCTGCCCAAACCCCCCTGAAGTTTTCAAAATATCTGACATGTCTGAAATTTGACGCCTGAGCGTGATTTTTGAGCCGAATTCTGACTCTCTGCACCTGTTTTTATTTTCAAATTATGGCTTTTTATACCGAAAATATACCAATTACTGAAAACGGCGATGGGTCAAATTTTGCCCAAACCCCCATGCAGTTCTCAAAATATCTGAAATGTCGGAAATTTGACTCTTGAGCGTTATTTTTGAGCCGAATTCTGACTCTCTGCACCTGTTTTTATTTTCAAATTACTACTTTTTATACCGAAAATATGCCAATTACTGAAAACTGCGATGGGTCATATTCTGCCCAAACCCCCCTGCAGTTTTCCTACATTAAAATTTCCTACATTTTTTATATTTTGAAAACTGCAGGGGGGTTTGGGCAAAATATGACCTATCGCCGTTTACAGTAATTGGCATATTTTCGGCATAAAAAGTCGTATTTTGAAAATGAAAATAGGTGCAGAAAGTCAGAATTCGGCTCAAAAATCACGCTCAGGAGTTAAATTTCAGACATTTCAGATATTTTGAAAACTGCAGGGGGGTTTGGGCAGAATATGACCCTTCGCCGTTTTCAGTAATTAGCGTATTTTCGGTATAAAAAGTCGTAATTTGAAAATGAAAATAGGTGCAGAGAGTCTGAATTCAATTTATATACCGAAAAAATGCCAATTAGTGAAATCGGCGATTTATCACATTTTAACCCCCCTCCCCCCCTGCAGTTTTCACAATATCGGAAATATCGCAAATCTGACGCCTGGGCCTTATTTTTGAGCCGAATTCTGGCTCTTTGCACATATTTGGAGTTTGAAATTATGAATTTTTATACCGAAAAATGCCAATTTGTGAAAACGACGATTTATCCCATTTTATCCAATCCTCCCCTGCAGTTTTCAGAATATCGGAAAAATCGCAAGTTAATAAAAGGATTATTTAATATCAGGATTTGTCAAGCATTTGCGCAACTATTTACGTAACCTGTACATTTCCCATCAATAATGATGGATTTCTTTACATTTATTAAACAGTTTAAGAGCTTAAACTCGTAATACATTTATGGTATATTAAGTTAATATTTTTGTAAACAACCTCGTAGTGCTTCGGAGCTCCTAAGCTGTTTGATGTAAACAAAGCCGACATGATCGATGTAAGATGTTCATTTTTCGAAAGTTGATGCGCAAATAGTTGATGAATTATGACCCTGAAGAAGAACAGAAATGATGTTGATATCTAAATGTCACCCAAGACAGACTTTGAGTTGACATTTGCATTTTCTAAGAGTTTGCAACAGACTTTGAGTTGACATTTGCATTTTCTAAGTTTTGTCTAAGAGAGGATTTAAACCTTTTCGGGAGTTTATATACGGATCAAGAAAGAGCACGGGTTATGGAGAAGGCGGATCATTAACTGAGAGGGAGGAGCATAGAGTAGGTAGGATGAAGGGAGGGAGGGTTGGATCGGGACTGGAGGGAGTGAGGGAATATGGGGGTCAAGACGATGCAACATTTGTCACCATGGCCATTATATTACACTGATCGATACGGAGTTCATATTCAGCTACCAGTCAGTTTACAGACAGGTCGCTGAAGATCAGTCATGCGAGGTACGGCGACCCAGCGTCAGCCTGCGGCGGCTGTCCTTCTGCTGATGGTACTGTGGCCGCCTTCGTCAGAAGCCGTGGTGAGCTCGACCACACGGCCTCGCGATCTCTCGGATCCTTCTTCAGCACAAACGCTTGAAGAGCTTTTCCCTAAGTTGAGGGTTGACAGTGCCCTCATGGAGGCGTCTCCAGCTGCAGGAGTCTCCTACAGGTCAAGTCAGGGGGTCCTTAGTCTTGTGGATGAGTCCGCAGCGGAAGGAATCTCCAGTAGGATAAGAAGGAGGGTCGAGAGACAGCCAGACAGGAGACCCTCCAACACACCAGGAAACCACAAAACCCCCAATCACCAGGTACGAAAAACCATAACTTAGGAAAGTTCACCCACATGTTAACTTATCGAAACAATTACATTTTGTTTCTGTCTTTAAGGCTTGCATTTCTAAACCAAAATCCAATGCTACTAGAATTTGCATTTGTTATGACAATGGGCCAGGTTTCAATAGGTATTTATGCAACCCCTTATAAAACCTGTACATCTTTCTTCAATCATGGCGGTTTTGTTTACATTTATTAAACATTTTACGAGCTTCGAAACTTCAGAACCCATGGTTAGTATTGTTATAAACAGCCTCGTAGTGCTTCGAAGCTCATAAACTGGCATGTTTTCATTGTATTGTACACGAGAGGCCTTGTGTACCTAAGCTAGCCTTAACAGCCTTGAAATGATGCAAAATGTAACCAGATAGGTAATTATATTTCTGTGAGAGCTTTAAAAAAAAGAGATTATTTTAGTATTCACTGAGCGAGGGGAAATTGACGTACACAGGAATACTTGTGTACAACACTGTTCAATTGTTTTAGTAGAGGTTTTGTCCTTAAACGATGTGTTCAGCGCTTGGATGAAATTCCTCTGTTTATGACACAAATGAGAAATTTCTTGTGAAGAATTATCTGACGTTTAAATCTGATGTGCAGAGTGATGTTATCCACATTAGTCTCCTCACATCCTAATAATTTCAACACCATAAAATCCTTTGAAATCAAACTGAAAATTTATAAATGTGATGTCATAAATGGCACTTTTAAATATTTCTCAAACCTAAAAGAGAAATGACAGATCATAACATTCATGAGAAAACAGACATTCAGATCATTCCAATAGAATTTTTGAGCTTTACCGATTCAACTGTAGATCAGCTTTAAGCTTTACTAAACACTGTTCATAGTTCATAAGTCTTCAAAGAGACAGACTGAATATGGAAATATTGCAATGGAAAGATCTAGATAATTTTGAGATGCATTTGATTAATTTACAAAGCAGCTCGATGTAGAAGGAAAAATGTGTCGACTTAATTAAGAGCTGAACTAGAAAAT